GTTCGGCGGCTGTGCTGGACCCCCGCAGGTACGCCAGCGGCCGGGGAGGAGAAGAGGATGTGACCCCGCGGGAAGATGAAACCGAGCGCCGTGGAGGCCGCCGACAAAGGAGCGCGTCCCCGTAAGCCGCTAGGGGTGGCTGGGGAAGGGGGGACGGTGTTTAAGCCTTTCCCACCGTCACCGGGTTGGTTTTCAGCGCGGCCTGGGGCCGGGGCCGTCTTCAGGGCTCCCGTGAGCCCCCCGCCGTCGGCTTGGTGCTGCCTGCGGGCTTTTTGCCTCTGTCGGGCTAGCGAGCAGGCACGCCGTGGGCGGGCTTTGTTGGTGGGCGGCTGAAGTACCCGTTGCACGGTTTCGGGAGTTAAACGTAAACGCGTGTACCTGAGAAGGCAGCTGGGTAACTTGTCTCGTTTGATGAGGTGCTTGCTGTGCGGAGAAGCTGGCGGCGGTGCTGGAATTCGCGAGGCCGCTGCGGTGCGAACTGCCGCACCCGGGCAGGTCGTGGCGGTGTCAGGAGTCGGCATGGCAGCCCGGACAGGCCCGGGACTTTAAAATGAAAGACGCTTTGCTGTTACTGGCGTACTACTAACTCGCTCCAGCCCTCTGATTATCCCTAGCAAGTTTAGTACGTTTTTTCTAGTATTAATTCTAGTATTTAGTGTGTTGATATTTGAGCTTCCCTGGCCATCGCATGTGTGTGCTGGGCACAATGCATGTTTGATCCCTGGTCATCTACGAAATTTCACTTGTACACCTGCATATCATCCATCTTTTCGGTTTAGATTCTGAATCAGTTAGGCTGTCCTAAGCCTCCTCTTTTTCCTGTCTCTCTAATTCTCTTGGTCTCCTGGATTCTGCAAAGCTGGCTGCTGTTCCTGCTACACCTGTGTGTGTTCCTAACCATTGCTTACAGAATCTTGGAACATGAGGGGTGGTTCTTCCCACTCTCCTATCTAAGACCATCTCTAGGAGGGAGAGAGTGCATTACAGAGGGACTGGTTTGCCCGTTGGCTTTTTGTCTCCAGAAGCGACCGGCTCACTTCCTGCAGCAGCCCTCATTCTCTCTTCTGAGCTTCTCCAGAAGAGAAGCAACTAGGAGCAAGGTGTCAGTCACTGAGGAGGAAAAGACTGTAAAATCAATGGCGTGTAAAAATCTTTGGTGATTCTGTCTCTGTCCTTGGTTGTAAATGGAATCCCTTGGAAGTATGTAAGAACACACAATGTGCAACTACTTTCACCTAATAATATTCTAGTTTCCTGCTATGTTTAGCTGCAGGGACTTCATGAGTTGCATGTCACTTCTGTGTGTTTAGGACCCCTCAAAGTATTCCTCTTCCTTGTACTTGTGCAGCTTCCCCTAGAAATCGCATCGTAATGTCGACCACATTCTTTGGCAGCAAGCTGCGCTGGGCTGCCCTGTTGCATAGAGAACCCATGCCTGTTTTTTGTTTTGTTCCTGATCCCGAGTTGTGTTTGATGCCCCACAGCTCCTCTGCTGGAGTAGGCTGTTCTGCCCATGTTCTTCTTGATTTTCTATATCTGTATTCTTTTCCCCCTAAATCATTTATTTTACAGACTGACAAAGTCTTAATCTACAAGGTCATTCTTCATGCCTTTGGTCATCATTTGTCTCGCTTGCAGGCTGTATTTAAGATATGGCTGAGTCCTGCCTTTTTGAAGTGGCATGATAAAATTATCTGCTTTGTTTTCTGTTTCTTAGCAATTTCTAATTTTTTTCTTTTTTGATTGTTCAGGAAAGTTCATCAGCACAGTTTAATTGCTGTATGTAGTTTCTTAGTTTTAGAATAAAATTCCCTGGGACAGAAAGAGTGGTCATAACTAGAACGGTTCTGAACTTGAAGCTTAGTTTTCCTACATCTCAGGTGGGTGCTCAAAATTCAGGTAAACAGTAGGATCTAGGTCTTGTATTTTTGGGTGTTCCAGTTACTTTTGACCGTTTTTTGAGTCTACATGAATCCTTTTTGTTTCAGATGAATAAGAGAGTGAGACAGATTCTGTTTTAAAATGGTGTTCTTGTGATTCTCAGCAACTGTGCAAGTAGTGTGTATACTGCAGTACAGAGATAGCAACTACTTGCCGACTGGGTGAGAAAATTGATAACGTATAGCAACTGAAATAAAAAGTCCATTTTAGGATGTGGCTATAAGGGCTATATGTGGTATTATTACTAACATCTTGGTTTTGACATGTTTAACACACAGCTGTTTTTTAAAAGTCCTATATTGCATGGAAGCTTGCCTTGTTAATTTCCATGATATATCAAGTTTCCTTTTGGAAAGGACAAAAATAAACATGGTTCACAAAACACAGTCCCATTTAAATTCACTTTCCTTTTTGCAGCAGGTGGAATGCAAACAAAAACAGAAAAGGTAAAATCTCTGAAGAATGTGAAAAAAGATACAGGAAAACCAGAGAAACTTAAATATAAGCCACTCACTGGGAAAGTGTTTTACCTCGACATTCCATCAAATACGATCTCTGAAAAAATAGGAAAGGACCTCAAAGAGCTCGGAGGGGTAAGTTAACGAGCAGGGACGTTTATGAAACTAGAAGAAAATCTGTGTATGTGGAGTGCCTTTTCTGTGCTCTTTGTGACTGCGCGTTAACGTTACTTGGATTTTGTATGTGACAGGATCTTATTTTTTTATGCTTGTAATGTGTAGTACAAACAATTAGCTTAACTACAAATCATTTTGTGCCTTTTTTGCTAGAAGCTGCTTTGCTAATTGTAACAGTTGTTTATTATAAAGGTTTGTTTTCAGTTGATTATTCATTTGCTTATCCAAATCGAGTAAGTTTCATTGTTTGAGGTGATTTTTTTTCTGCTGCTTCTGACTGTATGTTGCAACTAAAGTTGTTCAGCTGAACCTGAAAGAGATTAGAGGAAGTGTTTTGCATATGCTTACTAAAAGTCAGTAACTTCAGTAAGTACTTTCTGCATGCAGTATGTTAATGAGTATGTTTAAATACTACTATTTAAATCATAAATTTTATAAGCATCTTCATACTTTTTTCCCCCTAATTGTCTCATCTGTATGGAAGAAACAGTGATAAGGCAAGTACAGGATATCATAGTAACACACAAGCAATGCAATTGCTTCGTCCACTTTACAGTTGAATGTTTTGAATTAGCCTAGAGGAATCTTGGAAGTTAAAGTATTGAACACCCTTTAACCACAGAAGCAAAAGAGATCTGCTTAAATTGCTAGCTGTTCTGAGCATTGCTTTGGCAATACTTCTTTGACCCCAGAGAAGCCCCGAGAAGTTCTATGAAATTGATGCTTGTAAATTGAGATGCTCTCTGAAATGATAGTAGAGGCAAGGAATAACAGTGATACATTTTCAGGTTAACTACATCTCTTTACATTTAGCATTAGATGAGTGCACGCTATCTTTTGTCTTTCTGTATAAAACAGAATTTAAGGAATTCATATGGGAAAGGTAAGGTTGCAAATCAAAGACTGAAAAGAAGTTTTTCTGGTTTATTCTGAGGAGTATAGGCCTAAATCTGAGGCGTCCAGCACCCTTGAGATCACCTAGCATCCGTGTGTGGTCGTTACTTGTGTGGAGTGCACTCAGAAGTGCCTCTCTCTGTCTTTCCCATTTGGGGCAGAATTGGAAGGCACAGTTTCAAGCTTGCTGCCTGTGCGATTTGTGCTTTCCATACTGACTAGTGGAGACATGGAAAACATTTTAAGCTCCGTAAACTGGCAAGAAATAACAAGGCAAATGGAGCTGATAGTGACACAGCAGTTGGTAACGAAAGACTGAAGGGGCAAAATGGAAGAGATAAGGCACAGGATAACCACATTGGGTTTTTTTCTTGCCAAGTGTGAAAATATAATCTGCTTAAGTCTTCTACATTTTTGAGAAGTGTTATGAATCCTGTAGGTATGAATCATGGTAACTATCCTGAAATTTTACTTTTTCTGCTGGTTCTAAACTGAATGAATTTATACCTTCTTGCAAACTAAATTACATTTGCATACACATGTCTTTAAGTTTAGCTGAACTCTTCTGTGTAATTTCTGTTACACAAAGTTCTATGAACTGTGGTTTTCCTTGAATTATTCTGTTATTTCTCAATGCAGTGTTTGAATTCTTCTCTTCAGAAGGTACTACAGCCAGGTAGTTCAGGGAATGATAATAACTGAAACGAAGCAAAACTCTTTTGATAGAGATTACAAAATTAAGAAATTGAAATTAGAATTCGTGACTGGGGAGGTGCTACTACAGCTCAGTTGTAATTGTCATCCAGATCTTTAGAAAATATTGTCTTGTTAATTCAATGTTTCTGAACTTAATTATTCTAGAAGTTTTGTCATTTTCTTTAAAGTGTGAATGTGAAATTGAGTTAATGGATTTATTGTCCTGAAATAATTACTTGCTTTGTATCTCTATATTTAGAGAGTGGAGAGTTTTCTTAGTAAAGATATCAGCTATCTGGTGTCTAATAAAAAGGAGGCAAAATTTGCACCAACTCTTGGCCAGATTTCTCCTGTTCCTAGCCCAGAATCTGCACGTAATGGAGGAAACAGTTTGCTTCATCCTAGCAACCAAAAAGATGGACATGGCAGAAGTTCATTTAAGATAGTAGATACGGTAAGTTTCTTAGTAATAATACTGCAAATCAGGAACAACCCATGGGATATGCTCATACAGTTTTTCTCCTATTTTGTTTCCTGAAGGTGTCAACAGTTGCTTGGGTGAGTAAGGGTTTTTCTTTGTTTTTCTTTTTTTTCTTTTTTTTTTTTTTTTTTTAAAAAAAAAACCAACAGATCAAACATACTTTTGGACTAGTTCAGGCTAACTTGCTAAACTCAACTAACTCTAACAAAGCAAAGTTTCAAAAAGTAATTAAAAAAAGGGAGCCTTTTCTGCAAAGAAGCAGACTGCACCAAAATCTGTTCTGACATCGCGTGCCTGACTTACTGTTACACATTGCCACTGTTAGGTTTGACAGCTGGATCATTAGGGACAGGCTTGTGATGGCATCCAATGGTTCCTGTCTCTTCAGCAGCACAGCTGTTGATAGCTGGCTACTGGGATGTGCATCAAGCAGATACCTGCAGAAGGACTCTCTGATTGTAGTTCAAGGGAATCATTAAAATTGAACAGTATGAATACCTAGTTTTTCTGAGCTCTTTCTTAGAGGTTCCCGTTAATTGCAACAGTTGTATCTGAATTTGTACAGGTTTATATGAAGTTTCTGACATGGGCAAGTCTTGCATCCTTTCAAAGTTCGGTTGGAAACAAAGCTGTCCTCTGTTAGTGGTACTTAGAAATAGGACCGCGGGCCAGTCTGTGGGCTGGCTTTTGCATTGCATGGGTGAGATCACCTTGTTTTGCAAATAACCTGGATTGGGAAAGGCGTGCTTTTTATGAACAAACAGCACACAGTACAAAAGGGGATACGCTGGTGATAGGAAAAATGGGGATAAAATAGAGTCTATGATTATATTCATGACCGTTAGCTTAATTTGTCACAAGTCTGTCGAATGAAACCTCATCTTTTGATGTGTGCCGCTGGCTGCTTATTCCCACTGTCTGTGTTGTTCCAGCACTAACATTGCTTCAGCCATGCAGCAACCCGCTTTAGCTGTAAACCACTACTTGTTGAGTGGGCTTGGTGGGTTTTTTTCCTTTTTTTTTTTTTTCCCCCCCCTGACTATCCACCCTGCCGTTGTGGGGAAGATGCGAATTAATGAAACATAGCAGTGCAGTGAAGAAGAGGAAACAATTATAGCTAAAAGATGTATTTGTTAGCAACAATGTAAGTTGCCTTACCTTCTGTTTTTTTGAAGTGAGTTCTAACTTGCTACAAATGTGTTTCTGTTTTAATATAGGTACGTACGAGTAGAGGGAAGTCTTTAGTTGAAAAAGCAATCAAAGAGCAGGTAAGCCCAGTAATCGAAGAGTTCATGGTTGAGAAACTTTGTTTTTTCTCTTCCGGGAAACAAATAATCATAAGAGTGTTCTTGATGGTCTAAGACAGAGGTCCTTCCTGGAATGCTCAGGCAGAAGTCGAGGGGTTGTCCAAAGTGAAACTGTCAGGTTGTGCTTTCTGGGTACTTCCTGAAGAATTGAAGGTCCTTGGAGTCTCATGACCAGTATTACAATTTACCAGGATTGCTAATATAGCTAGCGTTACTAGCATTTGGGAGGTGCTTGTGAGATTCAAGTAAATGTATAAATTCACTGTCTCCAAACCTTAGTTGCTGTGAAATGTGGCAATAGAGAACAGTTTTAGCTTTATGAAAGGTTAAACATAATCTTTTGGTGGTGAAGTGCTGTGACACAGAGATGGAGAAATCACTTGAGGAGAGGGATGCTCTTTTGGCGAGAAGCAAAGTATCTGCGTTTTGATGTCAACTTTCGTATATTTGTAGTTATTTTACACAATCTGCTGTATATTGCTTAAAATTATTAATAGAGTTTGTTGTTTGTTGGTTGCAGGACTTAATCCCCTCTGGTAGTATACTATCCAATGCTTTGAGTTGGGGTGTGAAGATACTTCATCTTGATGGTAAATATTTTCATTTGATGAAGCCCAACTTGCGCTTGTGACATTCATTTAATTATTCTTTTGTTGAATTCAAAATATTAAAACCGAGAAGTTACTTCAAACATGCGAAAATAAAATCAGCTGAGTTAATTCTCCCTCTTTTTGCCAGATGTTAAGAATTACATTGAACAAAAGAAAAAGGAGCTCTACCTAATCAAAAGAGCAGGCAGTTCTTTTAAAGATGTGGTAAGTGGCTCTTTGCCATTTGTGAAAATGCTGTTTGTTTCATTTGCTGAGAACACGCAGGTGTGCTAAATACTACCTACTGTGAAGCTTATGGATTTTATTTTAATAAAGTCTTGCTTGTGTTCAGCTTTTCACTGACCAGTATGTTTTATGAATTGATTTAGAAACCGTCTTTGAAAAATAGAAAGGATTAGCTATGCATTTCAGCATTATTCAAAAATAAGTTCCATAGCAGCATTAATTAAACAATGTGTAGACTTTTGCACTTGCAAAGGATATCTAAGAATCAGAAGTACTGAGCTGTCTGAAATTTCCACTCTGCCTGCCTCAAAAATAATAAATCATTAAAAAAATTTGTAGCTTGGTTTTCATATGATGTAGATTGTTAAGTTGCATTGTATAATTTTCCCTGTGATACAGTCATTGGAAATCCTTTCCATTTGAGGGACCGTTTTGAAGAATCACAGTTAAGGTCTCCAAAAGAAGCTGCCTCTAGAGAATCTGTGTCAGTTGCTCAACTCTGCACCTTTCCTTCCTCGTCTTTTAAAGAACTAGCATAAGGCATCTTTGAGCTATGCTGCCAATAATGTGCAGCTGGCATGTGGAAAATCCCAGTTTCTCCAGATTTTAGTGTATGATACAGTGAGACATTGAAACTGTTTTAGCTGCTTGTGCGCTGCATCTGCAGTTGCTCTGTAATTTAAATTAAACATGAAGTTGTGCAGTTAGCTAGTCTAGGCAGGGATCTGTGGTGAGGAAACGGAAGCGTACCCTCCTGTGTATGTTGGGTTGCTTTGCAAGGCAATATTGGCTAATTATTAAGAAATCCGCTCTAAATTGTCAGTGTATCAGTGTTCATGGAGAGCAGGGTGGGGTTTTTTGCAAGTAATATAAAATACAGGTTTGTACCTTTACCAGAATCAATTACAGCTAATAGCTGATGCTTGCTTGTAGACTTCACTCTTCTGAAGACAAAATACTCCTTTTAATTGTCGTCTTCATTACTAGAAAAAACCCCAAACTTGTGTAAATCCATTCAAACGAGAAACATTTTTTAAATTGGAGAATGTTACTATCTGCATTTTTTCTGGTGCCATTTTACAGTTTGTAGTTCGTTAGTATTTATAATGTGTCGTAAAAATGTTGTATTTAAGAATTATCTTTCAACCATGGCAAGGTATTTTGGGGGAGGAGAGGGAGTAAGTGAATAAATTCTCCTGTGTGGGTTGTTTGATTTTGGTTTTAAGAAAAATGAATTGAAACATCTCAAGGAGAACACTGCTTTGCAGTGTAGAAATAAGTATTTCTTTGCAAAACGTGTCACCATATCTCTGAAGTACTAATGAGCTTGGTTTCCTGCAGAATTTATCATGACTGAGTATGAAGTTGTGACTAACATGAGGAGACCCTCGTAACTTAGCTACAGCTAAATCTTTAAGTAAAACGCAGAATAATATTGACAGGGATTTTACACCTGCTCTCTTTTTTTTTTTCAATAGGGAAAACAAGTTGCTGCTCAAAAGTCAAGAAGTGAGTATTTCAATATTTGTAGAGGTTTTTGTTTTGCCTTCCTTTCTGAATGCTGAAAAATGTACTACAGTTCTCATCCCAAGTGTGCTGCTGTATTTTAATTTATAAGTCAAAGAAAAGCACATAGAAAAACTTTATTGAAATCAAGAGTGCATCAAACATGTATATAATGAGTTCTGAAATAACGTCTGCTTATTTATTCTGCTACTGGACTAACTTGCTGAATGAAGAAAAGTATTTCTCTCTTAATTTCCTTTTCTCCCCCCTTGAGCAGGTAGACTGAAAAATCCCTTTGTCAAGGTGGAAGACAGAAGTCAGTAAGTGTTCTCTTCAGCTGTTTCTAGCACATGAGAACGGGTTCTTTGGGTTACTTTCTGCCAAGGGCCATATGAATGAAAAGGAAACCTGGAAGTTTTGAACCTTGACATCTTTTCTTACATCCAAATCCTGTACCCCAAAAGGCCAATAAAACTTTGGTTACTAAATTCCTGTCCTGTAGTCCCAACTCAGTAACATTCATCTCCTGCAGAGACTTGTGTAAGGAAAGGGAAGTTGTTATAGTTAAAATTGTCCCTTGAAATTCGGTTCTATTTCCTGTTCAATCATTTTTTTTTAAAAAGGAACACCCCCCTACTAATCTGATTTCAATATCCACAGTAGCATGAAATCTGATACTTTCAGCCATTAAAGTTTTCACATCTTCCTGGTCCTGTAATCGACCAGATCTGGTTATGTAAGGAAATACCAGTTTGCCAGAAGTTGAGCACAATGAATTATAAAAAAACACAGTTCTGTGCAGCATGATTTACACCTTTAAATTCTTAACTAACTTCTGCTTTATGATGATGTTTATAAGCTCCAAATTCTTTGACTCGATTTCTTTGACACTTTCCTGAATTAAAAAAAAAAAAAAGAGCTCTAAACCTGTGAGTTGGTGTGATAGGTATGAGGCACATGAGGATAGTGGGGTCAATTGGACAAACACATTTGTTAAGTACAAGAAATTCATTTATAAATACATGTGAATTGGACTTCTGAATGTAGCCGGGTACTAAACACCTGAAACACTTTAAAATGATTCTGTAACAGAAATATATATGCAAGATAAGTAACAGTTCAGAAGCAGAACAGGATGCTTTGCTGTCCCTGTTCTGTTTTCCAGACTTGCTCTTTTTCTTTGGCCTGGGTAGCCTACAATAGTAATGTGGGGAAAAAAATCAGACTGAACTCTGGCATCAGCATATTGGTCGAATGATTCGGTACATGAACTTTTGGCATGATCTATTTTAAAGGTTTTTAATATATCCAGAGCACTGGTATGGTCGCTAGTTCTGACATCTCTCTAAAGTACAATGGTGTACAGGAAAATTTATCTTTCTGGAAAATGAAAAGGTCAGGTTTTATGTTTTGAATGGTGAATTAATTAAAATTTGTCAAAAAGGAAGAAAACAGTAAAATTGGATGTTAGGAACTGCTATAGCTACTTCTCAGGAGCACAGAAGTGCCATCATCCAAATTGTTCTCAGGTTTATTGGTTACCCAGGTCTCAACAATAAATAGTCAGAAAGCCATACCCCGGGGAATGTGTGAGACAGCTGTGGAAACTCAAGGCAAATCTGTTTTGAGAAAGTATCAAGTTTATAGGAAAGAAGGAAGAATGACTTACTCTAGGATATTTATCTGCTTAGTGTTCTATGTATGTTATATCAGAAAGAGAAACACTTTTACAAGGGATTTGACCGGACTGTAATTTGGGCTGTAAACTCCTTTTCCCATTTCTAATTGTTCTAATGCGCTTGTTTGCTGTAATACAGCCATTACCGACCGTTTTATCTGCAGTTTCCCAGTTTTCCAGTTCTGAACTACTGTGTTCCAAAGCCATATAGTCCATTTGAGGTGGATAAGAAGCATCCTTCTGGTCAAAAGCAGACTCAGTCCAAGCAAAGGTTTGTTGAAAACTTGTTATTCCGGTGTGGATAGAGGAGAGGGTGGTCCTCTGAGATAATACTCAAGTAATTGTTTTCTAAAATAATAGCTCTTCTAATTTTGTGTGATATTCGATACTAATAGCCATGTCTCAGCTGATGTGTTTGCTGCACTGTAACTGTTGGTGTCTGTCTATCTTTCTGTACTTTCTTTGTCCTGTCTTTAGTCCTTTTTTTTCGGACATACAGATATATACATCCAAAAATGCAGCCTTCTCCTATTACTCTGGGTCAGCATAAGATACTCTTTTCCTTTCTGCCACTGGTTTCTTCTTTGTCCTCATCTTGGATGCCATCCAGTAAGTATTTTACAGGAAACAGATTTCTTAAGACTTCTTTTGATATTTGTCAGTATAATGCTAAAGTAAGCAGTTAAAAATTTTTGAAAGAGTTATAGTCATAGTGCAAAATCATCATTAATAAAGAGTGCGCATTGTTGGTAAAGCCTAGTTTATAGAAATTAGGCTCGGCAAATACTGCTTCAACTCTTCAGAGATGAAAGGTGGATGCCAACTGCCCAGTAGAATTGCATTTGGGCTTACAGCAAGCATTTATATAATACATTTTGGCATTTGAGCTCTATTTGAGCACTCCAGCTTCTGGTAAATCAATTTTATGGTTTGCAGCCACCTAGGAGCCTTAATTATCTGGTTTTGGGTGAATTAAAGTATTGTTTTGAATTTCTTCTGCCTAGCGTATCTGGAGTATTAATGATTCTTCCATTGACCTGTGAAATTCACATGAGATACTGAAGACACTTAGGTGAAAGGTAGCTTTGCTATACGTGGAACTTGCTGTATCTGGTAACTTTTGCTGTTTTTCTGTCCTTGGGGTCTAAGACTTATTTAGGTGTGATGCTTGTTTCCTTTGCGAAATAGCTTCTCCACTGTTCTGGTTCTGTCCAGTCTTCACCATGATTGTAGTGCTGGAGGTTTGCAGCTGTGTTGCCATGGTGAATCTACTTTATTTCGTTTATATGGATTAAGGAGTTTGATACATTAAAAATTTCAGAAGTTATGTTTGAATGTATATTCCTATTTAATCTTTCAGGTTGGCACATGCCAAAGAGCTATTTAGGTGGGAGATTACTTTGTACTCAGCAGGTAGAGGTGAGGAATGTCAGTTCAAGGAGAGAGAAGGGAGTGCTTGCTTGTTTTCTCTTTATTTGGGAGACAAGCTTGTTGAAGTGAAGTTGTCAGTTCTGCTTGCTTCTGTGTTGGGCAAGACCTGCAGACGTTATTCAGTCTTCAGGTGATAAATGCTGTTGCTTATATCCCACTTCACTGGTTCTTGGTGCCTTTTACAGCTCTGAAGAGGGAGGTGGGAAGGCTCATGTAACAGGAGAAGCACACAGTTAGGTGGAGCCTGTCCTGTGGAGCCCAAAAAACGCTGGGGTGGGTGTTACCAGTTTAGACATGTTGATGGAAAGTGATTGTGGAAAGCCATGTACCCTGTGCTGAGCAGTACACCGCTGTGCTCGTTAAGTCGGAGGTTTTTCAGGACAGGTTTTTTGGTGGAAAGCCCTGAGCTTACATCTATGCAGGTACTTGGTGTGAAGTCTGTCAGAATGATTTTTGGCTAGACAGGGAGATGGCACTATTCCTCTGAAGTAAAAGGGAAGTCGAGGTTAGTGGTTTGCTTTACCGCCAGCTTATCATCCTGAGGTAGTTTATTACTGAGTTGCAGCAAACTGTAACTCTCCCCGGATAAGGACTCTGAAGTTCATGGAGCAGCTATTGAAAACTTCTTCATGTTTTAATCTCCAGGAAGAACTTGAGGCTCATTTCCATCTATTTCCACTTAGTCTGTGCCTAGAAAAACAGGACAAATGGCCTTTGGGCTGCTTATTCAAAGCCTACATATAACCAGCAAATATGACAGTTCTTACTTTCACCAAAGAAGGAGAGGTCATGTGTTAGACTGAGTGCTTCTGCTGCATGTTTTCTTGGCATCAAAAATACTGTCAGTCGATAAGATGTCAGAAGACTTTTTTCTTTATTTTTAGGTTTGATTTTGTCAAACCTCTTTTTCTTTTATCAGCTATGCGGAGGTTTCAATACGTCCTTTGATTTGCCAAGTGAGATTTTTTTGTTTAGCAGTATCGCATCGTTTATTCTGGGTTAGTGATAGCAGTACATCTGTGCTAACCTGGGTGTTCTACGCTTACATGTAGTTCCACTGTGTCCACCTGTCTTCTTGCAGTAAATATTTTTTTAATTAATATATGTTTTTTCTCTTTGTTTTTCATAAGGATTAACTAACATAATGTAAATAGTTTGAGGGGAAATAATTTTTTTTTAAGCGAACAAGAATGAACATACTTTGAGAGGCAAATATAGAGCTCAGCTCTGTATTTGAGGCTCATGACATCTTTTCTGTTAACAGAAACAAAATAAATAGTGACAAGGCCTGTGGAACTTCTATTCAGCTCCCTCAGAAGGATAAAAAAAAGAGGGGATATTGTGAATGTTGCGGGAAGAAATATGAAGATCTGCAAACAGTATGTGAAATGTCAATCAAGTATATGCTTTGATTCATATCTCTTAAGTGTGGTATCAACAGTGGTTTCTACTGGCTAGTTTAATGCATTTTATCTAGAAGATTTTCTGAATATGTCTCCTAAAAAGCAGCAAGTGGGTATTTTTTTTGCTTGTAGGTTTTAATTCTTGATTGCTATGTCTGTGTCCGATAGGTGAAGGCCCTAGTAGTTCATGCCTCAGAGACACTAGTAATAAATTAACGATATTTACGTACTGCTCCATATCATACTGTTGGCTTGTATGTTCGTTTCTGTAGTATTAGATTTGTTTCATGTTTTTTCTTTAATTCCAGCATCTTGAAAGTGAACAGCACCAAAATTTTGCACAGAGCACACAGTATCAAGTTGTTGATGATATAATCTCCAAGTTTGCTTACGAGTTTGTTGAATACAAAAATGATGCCAAAAAAATAAAAAGGTAAGTTAGATGTTCTAAATCTTAACACTCTGTGAGTTAAGATATTGAACCTAAAGATACTTAGTTCTGAAATTCTGGATCTGGTACAGAATAAATTCATACTTTTCAGTCTAAAATAAATCACTGGAACTTGCAACGCAGTTGTACCTGGCAAATCAGTTCTGTAAAGCAGAAATTAGAAAAAAAAAAAAAGTATTAAAAGTGCAGATGGCATCACAGGAAAAACGAGACTGAAAGGGATTGCCAAAAGTTGTCCTGCCTATCCTGCAGCTTCAGAAGAGCGAGATGTGCTGTACTAAAATGTTGCTGACAGCAGAAGCTGGACATCTTGCTCTGAAGCGTTCTGTCGGTCTTAGTAGCCTGAGGACAGCAAATTATATTCTCCTCAAACAATCTGATCTCCTTACCAGTGAGAAATTCCTCCTAGTCTGATCTGGATCTTCCTGTCTATACTTCAAGCCTCTTAGCTCCATCCTGCCTGTGCTAGACAAAGCAGTTTTCCCTTTCTTCTTCGTAACAAAAAAGCTTAAATGGGCAAGAAAGACTTGTTTCTTGTCTTGGACGGTAGGCACCTGTGTCTTGGCTACTTGGAACAGTAACTCAATTCAAGATTGCTCTGATTTTTTGCAAATGAGTCAGGAGATAAAGAATAACTTTCTCATTTATTTAAAAAAAAAGAAAAGAAAATAAAGGTATTGAAGAAATAAACATATTGTTAGTTAAATCAAAGGAAATGCAAATAGAGACAAACAACTGATAGCCTAATGAAGGCAAGCCTTTATTCCTTCTGTGATTGAAAATACTCAGAGTGGCTAGGTTTGAAATACTGTGTCAAGAAAATCATATGTAATTATGCTAATTGTGTGTGTATATATATATATATCATAGAATGTTTGTAAGTATTTATAGTCATTGCATTACATTCATAAACTTCTTTTGTTCTTAATGCCACTGTGAATTGAGATTTACTGAAATACTAGACTTTGTGCGTGTTTAAAGCAATGTTATGAGCTGTAGAAAACAAGAAAACATCACCTTCAAATGTAAGGCGTCCTGTTCCTGTAGAAATAGTGTGTCACTACATAAGTATGGCTTTCCTTTAGAAGTAAACCCAAAAATTGCTTTGTCAGTTTGGTTGCTTTTCTAGAATCAGTTGCATATGGAGTTCTGTCACCCATGTTTTTTCCAGTGTTTGTTAATAATTTTAAACAATTTAATTGTAGGACAAAATGTAGTACAGGATACTTTTCTCCTATTATTGGAAAGATAACTAGACCGGATGAGCTGAAAGAACGACTGAAAAAGCAAAGCATTTCATTGAAAAGTTACTCATGGAGGGATACGGCGATGCGGGCACTCAAACTGGATCGCCAGCCTGCAGCTGTACAACCGACTTCTGTGCCAATATCCGCCCCTGTTTCTGGATCTCTCTGTTCAGCTCTTTCTTGTCACCTGTCACAACCTTCAGAACTGAAAAGTAAGTTCAGAAATAATGATGAAAACATTAAAACCGATGGCTCCTGTACTGGAAACTTGAGAGAGGCTGTTGTATCATCAAATTTCCTACAACCCCCCCCTCAGAAAGATGACGGAGCGTACACAGAGAACTTGTTTCAAGTTTATGAGCCATTCAGTAAAGAAATACTGGAGTCAGAAGTAAATAAAAAGAATTTACAGTGTTTTCAGGAAGGCCCGTGTACTTTATATTCTCATACTCAAGTTACAGATTTTAGTGAAAAAGACAAAAACCTGTCACAGCCAAAACGAAAATTAAATAATGCAGTAGTCCTACCAGCAAAGTGTTTGAAAAAAACAGATTCCAATCCTACGTTTATCAAGAAACATTGTGACTTACACGATAATCATCAGCAGATGCAGCACAATGTCGTTCTGGAGGCTGAGGTATCTGATTCTGCTGTAACCAAAGAACTGAGTGAGTTGGCTGCCAGCACTGCATGCTGTTCACCGTCAGGGAAGCTGCACAGAAAAGTGAAGCTTTACTTGGGAAGGAATAAAAGGGAAACCCAGAAACCGCACCTGGAGTTACACATGAAGTGTACAGGTGGGCTGTCTGCTCCTGAAGAGAAGAGGAGTTCCTGCAGCTCACCTGTGCAGGCCCTGCTGGGGTTATTTCAGACAACCGAAAGAAACTCTGAATGTGGAGGTTTTTCAAGTTGCACTGAGAACAAAGGTTCGAGTAGCATAAAAGATACGTGGGAAAGGCAGAATACAAATGTTATGTGGTCATTATTTTCCTCTTCCTCCTCATCCCCATTTTTTGGATTTTAATGCTGCTGTGTTTAATAGAATGATTTTCAAATAAACTTGCAAATTTAAGATTTTACCTGTATTATATGTACAGATGGTTTGGTTTTCAAGTTTTTTAACGCAAAAACTTCTGTATATGTAAATATGAAAAATAAAACTAATGGGTTTTTGTTTTGTTTTATTTTCTTAAAGGGCCTGCTCTGTCATAGCTCGTAAAAGGCTCTGAGCCTGGATTTGGGGTGAAATTAATTGCTAGGCAAAACTAAAAAGCATGACGTAGCTGCATTTGGTAGAATAATTTTCTAAAATCTTTGATCATGTGTTCTAAACAACTGGATGTTGCATTAGGAATAAGGCAGTCCATAAAAAGTCACTTGCTTTCCTAATACTTCTTCTGCTGCCGAAATTGTGCTGGGGAACCTGTGTAATATGAAATAGGATTAGGAAGGCATGTATTATATTTTTTGGCTCTCTGACATAATTTATTTTTAGACTGAAAGTGGAAGGCACAAGTGAGAGCTGGGAAGACATTTTTAATACTTTGAATCTTTCCCAGAGCTGATCTCTTTCAGAATGTCCGTATCTCTAACTCGGTGCAGGGCATGAGTGTGGAACTACAAGAGGCAGTGGCAAAGCTTTATTAACCAATGGAACTGGCTTAAGGGCATAGAAGAGACTGAACCAGCAGAAATTGCTCTCGTTAACTTTTGCATAAATTACTTGTTTGCGTTTGTATCTCTTGCCCGTTTAATATCCTTAGACCTGATCTGTCAGTGTTGTGGCTGAAGCGCTTTCAGTCCTGGCTCGCTATTGCCTGTCCTTCACAGGGCATTTTCTGTGCAGGGTGGGTAAAGCTTCTTGATGTGCAGGAATGGGTGAAGAAAATGCCAGCAAAGTGCTTTCCTTTAAAGGGCATATGCATCAGAAGCTTAACGATGACAGTAGCTGCTCAGGGCGCTGTTGTCACCTTAAAGGTGGCATTCCTTACTCCACTGTTCATGCAATGGCCTGAACTGCTTTTGGTCTCCATCGCTTCTGGCTTGATATACAGTTTCTTCTGATCTGGATTCACATCAAGCAAATTGCACAAAGAGCCATTCCAGAAATGAGCAAAATTAACATTTTAAAAGGAGTTGATCTTGAAGATGTATGGCTATGTATATATATATCTCTTGTCTGTAATTTACCAATCTAGGGTGTGTTAGGATTGGGGTTTTAGAGTAGAACATTGAAGCAATTATTTTGTTCTTCATTTTGAGTGACACTTTAATGACAGAGGTGTTGCTCTCTGATACGGTGAGTGCAGTCTGTTGTAGGAACAAGTGATTGTCCATTTTTCTTCTCTTGAGAATTTGTGGTTGGTTGGTTGGTTTTGTTGATGTTTTAGTGGATTTTGGGTTAGTTTACTTTTAACTTTTTGTTCAGTGCTAAAGTCAAGTCTAAGAAAAGCTTCCATTTTTCCCCTAACGCTTGCATTTTTCCCCTAACACATTGCAACAGTCTGTCAG